GATAACTCAGACCTCCAGACTAAGAATCCAGTCATGATGGTTCCTCAGCGTCCGATTTATGATAGCGAGGAATGCGCTCACTTCTGTACATATAGAAGAGCTGTCAGAATACACACCAGATGTTTTTGAACATACCCCTGACCACCCCAGGCCTGCAATGTGTATTTCAAGGCCTCTGCCGAGATCCTCATTCCCGCCGAATCCTTCGAGTAAACTGGGTTTAAGGGTCTAGTTTCAAACTACTGAGATGACGCCTACCGATGGAAAAAAATACCGGATCTAAGGTCCAACTCTAAAAAGGTGGCAAAGGGACGTCCAGTGATATCTTCGTCAACGAGACGATGCGGCAAACGGCGGTTCAGTGCAAACTGGTTTCACTGTCTAAAAAACTTCCTCGACAGTTCAATGACTAACAGTTAGATCGCTCCAAGATGGCAATATATTGGTGTAAGGACAAAAAAAACTGGGAAAACGATTTTGTCGTTTTCTAACCAGAAAAAGGGCTGCATTACGGCAATGTTGGTATGCAATCAGAAAACTGGTGATATCCGTAAGCAGACAGCGGGCCTGATAGAGGAAAGAGTATGTGGATGGTATAAGGCACAAACTCTGAGAATAACAATTATTGTATCACAAGGAAGTGCGAATACGCACTTTTACACTAAATGCTTTTGAAGCCTTTCAGCGATTTTTATAACTATCTAGTGCAGGGCCTAAGCATGCCCACAAAAAGTCAGTTCCTCAAAACAGGGGGAAAATCTACAGAACCGAGGTTAAGATTTCAAGCATTTCATGGGGACAAGGCATTAAGTCGTTTTAAAGATAGTCGGGAAGTACGCCGAATTATTTAGAATCGCTGTTCTAAAAGGTAATGTAGTCATACTTAAGTGCTAAAAGCTTTATGCGAAAATCGCGAGAACTCGCTCTTAAAAACACAGCTGTGTGGACCTTAAAACGCTGCTAAAGCAAAAAATGCCAACAGGGGAGTATTTAGTGTTGATTACAAAGGCTCGTCGGCTAGGTTTTCTTCTTAAACCTATCAACGGCCAAATAAACTGCTGTACATGGTCTAATCTCAGTGAACAGTTAAGTGCTTACGGCTGCGGATAGATACTAATCTCAATCCAATAGCGCGTTTTTTCTGGAAGATGCAGAGATGGCACTGCGTATCGCACTTTTGCAGGGATGATTGGAGCGACTGCCATTCTTTAAGAAGGTATCAGGCTACAAAAGGGATCCCGAAAAGAGACCTGTCCTTTTTGTCTGGTTACGCGCCACCAATCGAGTGCACGCGTGGCGAGTAGCAGAACTGCCTTCAGTAACGACTAATTACGAAATACGCAAACTAAGGAGTCTGGCAAATAGGAAACCATAAGACAAACAGCGGTAGCACCACCAGGTGTGACGAAGCACCGATCGGGCATATCAGTTAACGGCAAAAAACGTCACAAGTCCAGGCGATATTGCGGTATGGCCTATGTTGCCCGCCATACAACAAGATTTTCCCCGTCGCCGTCATCTTATGGATTCGACTCCCATCCACAGGTCGGGCGGGACATGCGGGCTGCCATGTATCATATCCCGTGAATTGCCACAACGATGCATGGTCTATGGTTAGGCCAGGAATGGCACTAAATGAAACAAGTAGCTGCGGCAGTGTAGACCGTGATGACACCTCTTGCTAGCAAAGATACTGGTATTACTTAAATATAGGGCAGTGCCCTTTAAACTAATTTACCTGTGAAAACCTATAGCCATTTTCGTTAAATGTTACAACAACATATATCTACCTGGACGAGAAACCTTTTTGAGAACCTTCTCTCCGCAAAAAAAATTCATTTTTTCAATCGAACGGATGTAATAATGTCCGGCTTGGGTGAGATATTAAATTCTGGGAACGTCTCCAAAAGCATGCTGTAAATAGGGAAAAATGTGGACAACTTTTCCAATAAAAAGTGCACAATAAAAGAACCAAGCACGAAAGTAAGACTCACCGGAAACTGCACAGTTCCGCCACAGGGAACGCCATGGGACCCCGGCTGCTGATTTAAGGGCATGTACTGAGGGGGCGGAGGAGCCCCCTGTTGAGATCCACTGCCGGGACCGCCGTGAAGCATCGAGTTTGGTGGACCACCGCCCCCGCCATTGCCTGATGGACCGGGCTGTTGCTGTTGCTGCATGGAAGGTGGCATGATAAGGCCGTCGGGTGGTATTTGAGGTCCTCCAAAATTCCCCCCTCCAGCGCCGCCGCCGCCGCCGCCGCCCCCGTACTCTGAAGGAGGGCCAGATAAGAGGAGACCTGCTCCGTTAGGGCCACCACTTCCACTGCCACCACCGCCTGGACCCATCATATCACCCGGGTGACCAGAATGGATAGGGGACATCTTCATATCACCTGCGTACGAGCCCGGATTTGGGGTACCGCCAGGCATGCCGCAGCTACCGTATTCGGGAGGAGGGGGTGGCATCATGGAATTTCGTCCCGAATTTCCACCGCCGGGACCACCACCACCGCTCCCATTAATCATTCCGTCAGGAGGCCCAACACAAAACGGACTGTCCATTTGAGTTTGAGATGGACAACCGCCGGGACCGCCACCGAGGACAAGCTGGTTATTTGACCGGACAGAGAATACTGCATCTGCAGAGCCCAATCCAGAAGAGGCGGGAGGAGTCTGTTGTTGTTGGGCATAATGAGGTGGGGTTGGATGATGTGGATGTCCAGATGGGTGTGGTGCTTCGTTAAGGCTGCCTGGAAGACCCCCAGGGTTGCCGTTGTTACTGGGACTCTGTGCAGCAACTTGTGTTGCGCCGCTGCCAGGAGTGCCCGGATGTCCAGGACTGGGGGCAATCCCACCCGCGGAAGAGGTCTGTGGCGGCATAGGACCAATACCACTGCAAACGACTGGATGGCCACCACTGCCACCGCCGCCGCCGCTGCCCTGAGATCCAGGGCCCTGAGGACCGCCAGAACAGGGTCCCATCCAACGCGCCCTGGACGGTGGTGGCCCATGACCAATATTTGCTCCAGATGGATGAAGATGATGTGAGAGAGGAACACCGTGAATAGGATGACCTGGTTGACCAGGAGGAAGGCCACCGGGGTGTTGTGGCCCGGTTAGCATACCACCAGGGACGGGACCGTACTGTCCAGCACCTGGCTGATGGAAACGCATGGATGGATGCATGGGCTGAGAGTTGGGGCCAAGGCCAGCCCCTGAGCCGGGACCGCCAACTCCGACATTGGGCAGCATTGGGGGAATGGAGGGTCGTTGCCGCATTCCGCCGGAATCCGGACCTAGTGGGCCTAAGGAGGGTGCCATGTTGTTAAGTCCACTGCCAGGCGGCCCACCACTGACGGGCCCCTGAAGGCCAGGATGCCCAGATTGCGGAACACGATGCAAAAAGGTGTTCGACAAGGGACGAGGCGGCATACAGTGTTCCTAAAGGAGTTATACTGTGGTTGAGTAAAAGTTTCAAAAACTGGCTAGGGTAGGATAGATATAAACGATCAAACCAAAGGATGATGTCCTAATATCGGGGGTATTGACACCAACAGACGCATGCAAGTCATGTAAAAAAGCCTGAGAATTGCAAGACTAGAACTCCACAATTACGTACTGATACAAAATGTTACACGAAAGGAACTGGCAATCAAGTAACAGCTTTGGTCGGCCTGTCGCTCACCGGAGCTTATTAGGTAACAACCAAGACGGGTACACTAAGAATATGGGCGGCCACACAAGTTAGGCAAAACACGACCGCCATACATGATAGAGGATGTGCCTAACTCGACGACATCTAGATCATGACATGGAAAACATCCGATGATCGAACTAACATCAATAAAAAGTCGATCGGTGTGGAGGAATGAAACACGAAGCGATGTCATAGCAAGGGGGGTTTTCGCACAAAACCTGCGACGTGATAGGTGAAAATTTCGATATCGAAACTAAGCAACAGTGACGAGTATACCGGACTTACATGTAAAAGACCATTCGGATAGCCAGAAGGCACAAAACCCTATAAGTCGAACAAGTAAACCAGGAAGTAAATGAGCATACGTAATCGTGGAAAGCCTTAGCTTCATTTGAATGCTCGTGTGTGTCACGCCGTTCAGGGGCAGCACTGTACAGATCCCAGAACACACTGAAAAATTAATAATAACAGCAAACTACAAACCTCCACCACGAATGAAGAAAACCGGGTGGGTCGCCGACCGTTATGGATTTGTCCCACCGAATCTTGAAATTTACGGTATTGAGTTATAAACTTAAGCGAATACCTCCTGAAGAAACGAATTTGCCGTTTTCTGAGCTCCCATATGTATGAGGTACTCATACACATACATAGCGAGCCTATACAATGACAAGGATAAAGGGCGACTTACTTTTCTTTAGACTGAACATCCGATGGACCACCAATTAGTTTCCCCTTCCCATACATTGCAATTTAATCGAAAAGGCAAGGCATAGCAAAACGAGCGAACAAAACACTAAGGCGCCGCCCGGAAAATTGGTGTGTCAAATGACTAAATAGCTCACTTAAAGAAAGGTACAGCATCATGTCTCATTACTACTGAACTCTACGACACCATAAAATTAGTTTCCTGAATGTTAACGCGGCTATTATGCCAGCTTGTGCACGGGTATGTGGCTCCGAAGTAAATAATACCTGAGACTTTAACGCGGAATGGTACCTCAACAACTCAGGGCACAACCGTTTCAGTGATATGAGAATAGTACGGGTAAGACTTCCAGTTTATAAATGTTATTAAAAGGCATCCCCTGTCTAAGGAAGCGAACGGCGTCTTAGGGGAAATGGAAGACTGTCTGACTGCACATGTACTGTGGATGACAGCCCACCAGAGTATAGAGAAAAAGGGCCAGCGTCAACACTGATTTCAGTTTAAGTCAGTTTATTTAGGGAATGAGACGTTCACCCTTGAGCTCCCTTTTCATATCGATAGACCGAAATAGAATCACCAATTACATCAGCAAATGCGGAAATTCAAAAGTCAGCGGTAAGTGTGAGCCAGGCGCAAACTGCCGCCGCTAAAACAATCGTGATTATATGTACAGTAGTCTCTCAGCAAATGAGCTTCTAGTGTTCACTTAAAAGGATCCAACAGTTTCGGAAAGAACCACCGCATCAGGGAGTCCGTTCCATGCCCCAATGATCGTGTGAGAGAAGGCGTTCCGTCGGACGTCCGAATGAGCCAGCTTCTGCAGTTTGAAGGGATGACCACGCAGTCCACTTCAGTCAATTGAGGGAAATAGGCGTGAGCCTTTGTATATCATATTTTGCACAGTAAAATTGGTGCGTTACATGGAGAAATCATGTGGGCCGAAATAATTCAAATGGGCATATAATAGTTTGACTAATTGGACGCGATTCCCGGGGTTTGAGTTCGATCCCCATTACTCTTGTTCCTTTCGGAAAGTGAATATGTCAAGATCCCTGTTGGGAATGCCTACACTCCCAAAAACAAGAGCCAGCCAATCCCTGGAGGACACGGGCGTTTTCTCTACAGCGCTGTCATCTTAATCGTGGCAACTGCAATGCTGTGTGTCGTTTCGCGGTACCAGAATCACTGCGATCTGTTACATCAAGTCTGATCTAAACCTACATGGTCTCAACTGGATTGAACAACTCGGTTTGGCCGATATGCCGGTCCGCGTCGTTCGCAGTCAGGTGCAGATTTCTGCTCTACTTGCAGATTAAGCCAAGGACAGTCTCCAACGGCTGTGTTCCAAGACAGCCTGGGTTGTTGCGCATATACTCAAGCCGTGCTACATCTGTCTCCTGGAAGTCAACGAGTTTTCCGTCCACAGCGACCAGTCCCATATGCAGTCCTACCATTTGTCGAGGCTGAAGTGAAGCGTCTGGAGGAACTGGGAGTTCTGGTTCCTGTATCCTACTCCGTCTGGGCCTCCCCAATCGTTGTGGTTAAGAGGCCCAATGGCTTGAGCCGCATTTGTGCTGACTTCTCCACCGGTCTCAATGCCGCACTGACGCCGAACTGCCATCCACTGTCCGTTGCGGCTGATCTTTTCACCCTGCTGAATGGTGGTACTTGCTTTGCCAAGTTAGATCTCGCTGATGCGTATCTGCAGATCGAGGTCGTCCCAGAGTCGCACGAATTGTTGACCATCAACATCCACCGCGGTCTCTTCCAATACACCAAGCTGCCCTTTGGTGTCAAGACCGCCCCGGCCCTATTCCGACAAACGATGAACGCAATGCTCTCCGGCATCCCTGGCACAGCTGGGTACCTGGAAGACATCATCATCGTGGGTCGCTCCCCTGCCGAGCTTCAAGACCGAGTTTGCGCAGTACTCGAACGCGGGCAGGAATATGGGTTCAGCCTGCCGTCCGACATGTGTCAATTCTTCCTCATCTTCATCAAGTACCTCGGATTCGTTTTTGACGTCACTGGCCGCCATCCAGGTCCTGAAAATATTCGGGCTATCCAACGGATGCCTGCACCCAAGAGTGTATTGCAACTTCGTTCGTTCCTTGGCGTGATCAGCTACTATAGCGCCTTCCTACCATCGCTGCATGACGTACGGGACCCGCTCGACCGTCTGCTGCAGAAGGATGCTTCCTGGTGCTGGTCCCCCGACTGCGAAAAGGCCTTCGCCCAGTTAAAGTCGATGCTGAGTTCAGATCTGCAGTTCACGCACTACGACCCGATGTTGCCGATCGTTGTTGCTGCAGATGCTTCCAACCACGGAGTTGGTACCGTCATCTCACATACTTTTCCTGACGGATCTGAAAAGGCGATCATGCTTGCATCTCGCACGCTAACTCCTGCGGAGAAGAACTACGGGCAGATAGAGTAAGAGGCTCTAGCTCTCGTGTTTGCCGTCAAGAAATTTCACAAACGTTTTACGGTCGTCACTTTACGTTGTTGGCGGATCACAAACCATTGCTGTCAATCTTCGGTTCGAAGAAGGGCATTCCTGCTTATTCAGCCAGTCGACTTCAGCGATGGGCAACTATCCTTCTTGGCTACGATCTCGATATTAGTTACTGTCGCACTGCAGACTTTGGATGGCTGACGCCCTTTCTCGCCTAATCAACAATCATCGGGAACCTGAGGAAGACACCGTGTTTGCCGCCATTTCGATTGAGGACGATGTGCGCCGTTAGCCATCAGACGCCCTACGAGGTATCCCTGTCACTGTCGCGGACATCCGAAATGCTACTGAACAGGATCCTGTCCTCCTTCAGGCCAACCAATGCTCTCGCTGGCGATCTTCGCCAGCTCTTCCTCCGCCGAGCATCACTATCTGTGGTTGACTCCTGCCTCATGTTTTCAAACCGTGTGGTGATCCCATCTTCCCTCCGACCTACGGTACTACGCTAGTTCCATGCCGCTCATCCTGGTACCAGCCGAATGAAGTGTATCGCTCGCAGTTTTGCTTACTGGCCGGGTATCGACGGCGACAATGACGACCTGGTTCGACGCTGTTTTCGATGTCAGCAAGCTGCCAAGATGTCGCATCGTCAACCGCCAATACCCTGGTAACCACCGGAGAGGCCTTGGTCACGCGTTCATATCGAATTCGCTGGCCCACATAACGGAGTCACGTACCTAATCTTGGTTCTATATGTATATGTATATATTGAAGGGTTACAGGCAGAGCCCTTGATGACCCTAGTTATGTACGGTGCTTTCGCAGATTCGTAATCGAAAATAAAATTGCAGGCATTTACAATGTGATCGGGACACAGTTCAGTCGAAATCATAAGGTAGTGCATAGGGTCACTGTAAATTAG